TAATTCTTTTGCTTACCCGTTTTTTATATTCTACGCGTTTGTTTATAATTACATATGACTAATTTTATGAGCAGAAAGTTATTAAATCTACAGTTTTTTTTTTTTTTTTTTGCAGAAAGGGAAAAAAACCCCAAAAGATAAAATAAGAACAATCTTTATACATTAAAAGAAAGGGCAAATTATGTGTATGATACGATTATAGGGGTAATTCAAGGAGTATTGTTGATATGATTAAAATCTTTTGTTAAATTAAATGATCTTTATAGTTGTCAACACGTTCTCAAGATCTGTCCTTCTTTTTCCCTCCTCCCAGGTGAAGGTGCATTACGGAGATTATGACAATGATGAGTGATTTATGTTGACAAATTATGGTGTCTAACCATGTCTTAAACTCAAGAAAATTGACCGTTGGAGCATAAGTAATTACAATTAATTTTTGTTAGACTAATGTCATTTTGGTTGGCAAAGACTGGACATTAGAGTTTATACATGGTTGCATTGAAACGTAATGTATCTCGCACAGAATTCAACAATTCTTTGTACACAAAATATTTCAAATTTAATGATGTCTAAAGTGACAAAATCTGAACAATCAATGTTAGGACGAAGGGTGTATTTTTTACGCAATGTCTATTTTTTATTTAAAGATTACGATTATTCATTTATTATATTTTTTCACAATTTCCTATTATACCGTGATTTTTTTAACATTATAGGTTCATGGTGCCAAAAAAATATTTCGTTTCATCTATCATATAGAATAACTTTCTGTTTGTTTAAACTTTTAACATTCATTATTTACGAAATTATGTTTTTGCAAACATTTGATAGTTTTGAAATATTTTATATGTAATTTATAAAAATATTGTAACTTACTCCCACATCGTGCGGTTAAAACAACTAGTATAGTTTATGACATAATTTAGTGATGATATATACTCCACGTTTTCCACTTATACATGAGTTTAATTAAACATCATTTGTAATCGAGATTGTGTGTTTCTTGGGACTGCGATTCGATCTCATGAGGGGGAGTTTTTTCCCCCACTTTTCTCCATTGCTATTCAAATAACCGAAAATACTAACCATATGCACTTGACGCTTAGACGTGGAAAATCATTTGTTTGATTGAACAAGTCAAATTAATCAGCCTTTTAATTTGTACTTTCGCTGTCTGTCTTAACTAACCGTCATGGAATAGTACAAATTCTCCAGTGGACCTTCTTTCGTCACCTTATTATACTCTCCTTATCCCAAAATTATTATCCAACTTAATATAATACAATTTGAACTAGAAATGAAAATTCAGACTGGACAATAATTATGGGACGAAAAGAGTATGTTTCATAAATTTAGATAATACTAAATTCAAATTTGTATCTTAAAAGCAGAATCAGAATAAATTTTTACGAGAAAACATATTACTGACTATTGAAAATCTAGGTCGATGATATTGTATATTGGCGCAATATACGTACCCTGTTTATATTTTTGCATGTCTTGTAAAATACGAAAATTTTCGGTGACACTTGAAATTAAACGCTAGAGAAGATGGTACCACACACATCCAGTACTGTAACAGTTTGAATAAATCATTAACCTAGACAAGTACTACTTGTTGACAGATTTGGATGCGATGTTTTTATAATTATAGTTATCGTAGGTAATCTTAATGACTGCTCAAACTTATAAGGAACTGATCTTCCTCCATTTGTCGTCAAACAATGCATAAATGAAACACCACTATCTATGTAGTTAATGTACATATGTGTTCAGACGCGAGATTACTTCTTTATGACGTAATCTGGCAATTTATTTTTTTTTTCCAAAAAGTTTTAAAAAAGGTCGATTGTTCATTCTCACAGTAATATTTTCGATCGACATCCAAATTAACAAACGGATCACGCGTGCTTTGTGAAAATAAATTTTTGAACTTAATTTGCGCATTATGATCCAAATAATTTAGAGACTAGCAAATTAAGTTTAATCAAAAATCAAACCGGGAATTTACGAATTAAACAACATTCTTTTGTTCCAATTTAATTACACGTTATTTACTTTACTTTGTTTTCTTTTTCTTTTTTTTTTTTTTTTGGTGGTTGAGAAGAAGTGTATTTTAATGGAATAGTTTAGCGAGATTTTACTATGTAATGTGTACATCTTGATATTAATGTGTACTCCGAATTAGTAAAATACACAATGCGCCCATTCAACAAACAAATTGACATATCATGCATAATTATGAGATTAAGTATTCGTGATAGTACCGATATTATTAATTATAGGGTTGAAGACTGGGATTTTGATGGCCATAATGCAGATAAATTAATTAAGTAATAAGATTAAATTAATCAAGTACGCTGAAAATCAAGAGTTTAAGTGGACCAATGGAGAATTAAAGTGTTAAAAAAATGAGGACATAATTATTTAAATTAAAATAAATGGAAGTAGGCTCTACAATGACTTCATGAAGAGAAGAGGAGACCCTTTGGACCAGTTATATTTGAATAGTGATGGAGTTAGGGCACAACTTGAAGGTCCTTTCACACCCACAGCTTGCTTTCCACTCTAGTCTAGAGGCTCAAGATGTTGATAGAGGATGATATATTGGTATGTATCATTTCCAAACACTTTAAATTTCTTCTTTTTGGATAAAATCCCCATTATGCAAAAAACAGTTTATTCATTCAAGTTAATTTTTATTTTGATAAAAAGCTATAATCAATTTAATAGTCAATCCATTATAAATTAGTAGATCTTTATTAGAAAAATGTAAAAATTTCAAATCAGATTTTATTTTATAAAATCAATAAATCTCTTACAATTTTTTTAATATTAAATAATATTACCCTTATATTGAAAATAATAACCGCCTTCCACGTTGAATGGTTGTATGCGATAAGCAAACAACATTATCGTAAGGGCAATAATTGAAAGCAATTTAGTATTTTAACTGAGTCAAGTATCAATATTAAATACATAGTTTATCTATGCATCCTAAAATAAGTCGGAGGGAGGGAGCCAGGGGACCAGTTGGGGCAGTTGCCTCCCTCCCTTTAAATAATTACATGGAAGTAAAAAAAAAAATTAACAAAATTTTGGAAATTTTTATTTTTCACCCCTACAACAATTTTTCATAATTATATTTCGCCCCTCCTTAAAACAATTCCTGATTCTGCCACGATATCGTTAAATAAATTTATTGAAAAATAGAAGTAATAAATAAAGTCCATAAGCTAGTTGTTCATTAATTTGAAGATTCTAGTCAGTTTGGGAAAGAACCATGCTGAAACAAAACCTTGTAGATCCCAAGATATTGCCTGATAGTAGTAGTCTTTTAGTCCCCATATCGAAACAAGAAAATAAGAAGGCAATTTCCCATAACAAATTACTCCCTCCCTCCTATAATTATTGTCCAGTTTAAGTTTTCATTTGAGTTCAAATTATACTAAAAGTCAAATCTGAAACTGGACAATAATTTTAGGACAGAGAGACTGTATATTTTGTCAACCTAACTGCAAACCTTGTCCCTTAAAAAAATGCCTAATTAAAATCAACAATGCCATGCCAGCCCAAATCAAAGCTGGCAAGATGTCAGTCAATACACCAAGCTTTTCTAGTTTGTCAAACATTTACAAAAGTGTATGAAAATTCATTCCCGAAAGCAGAAAATGTATGGATGAAATTCATGCCCGACTTTTACCATGAAATTTGATGTATCCATACTTTTACGGTTTGAAATGGTAGTTCAAATGTTATTAGATGTCCCAGAAACAAAGTATATAATGAGATTAGTACTCCCTCCGTTCTAAAATAAGTGTCGTTTTAGCAAAATAGAGAAGTTTCAAAATAAGTGTCGTTTTCAGATTCCAATGCATTTTTTTCAAAAATTTCCAAACATACCCTCAAAAGAAATAATATTATTGGTGAGCATTTTATTTTAAAGGGACTGGTTGAGGATATTCTAGTAATTTAGTTACCATATTTAATGTTTTCTTAAACTGTGTGAAAACTCTAGAATGACACTTATATTGGAACGGAAGGAGTACTGTATAAATAAAATCACCAACACTCACACATTATCCTATAAAAAACTGAACTACCTCCGTCCCAAAATTATTATCCAGTTTAGGTTTTTATTTTTAGTTCACATTATACTAAAAGTAAAATCTAAAACTGGACAATAATTTTGGGTGGAGGGAGTATAAATTTTCTTTTCTTTTCTTTTTGCTGGACCGCTTGGATTTTAGACACTGGGAGTTTTCCATGGAGCATATCATGAACAACAATGCTTGAGTAAAGTTTTTTTTTTCCCCATAAACGAAAAAATACAAATAAAAATGCTTAAAGTTAGTGCAAGCACATCATAAAATTATTTACTTATAAACTCTGAGTAAATAATATTCTATGAAATGGTTGTATTGTATCATATCACGTAAATATAAAAATAGTAAATTTTGAAATATTTAGGATTACTATGATGTAGCTCTTCCGTTTTCAAATAATTGATTTGAATGAGTAGAAATTTTTTAAAATTAAGTATCATTAAATTTCTACTTTCAAAGAAAAAGAACCACTCTATCTGTCTGTCATACTCCTTTTTATGATAATAAGAGATCATATGTTAATTTTTATATTTTTGTTTCTCTGGAAAGGAGTGTAGATCTTTACTTCAATTAGAGATGTGGAGAGGTCAACCGAAAAAAAAAAAAAAGAAAGAAAAGAAAAGTAACGTAAAAATTTTAATTTCAATTCTTTAATTGATTAAAACATTTCAGCTCCCAAGAGATATCGGAAATCAGTCAATCCCACTTTGAGCCAACCACTAGTGATTACCATTGCAGCGTTTTTTATCACTGATTTCGAAGAAGATACGGATTTCTGAACATATAATCCTTTAGTTAATTGGAGAAAGGATGATAGTACATTTAACTCAAATTGAGCTTACTTTCCGTTCTATATATTTAGGCAAAAATATATTTGAGTAAATACAACTCAAATTGAGTAAACACATTTTTGAAATTTAAAATACCGTGAAGAATATTAGTGTTACACACTCTCATGGTTACAAAACCTTCAAAAAGAACCAAAAAAAAAAAAGATGCAAAATTCAGTCTATAATTTTACAATTTACACTAAGCTACAGCCTGGACTAAAAGAACCATATAAGCCGTAAGATACATGAAACTCTAGATTCCTATGACAAACAACCCACTGAAAATACTGTGTATTTCAGTAACTAGATGTACAGTACAATCAATGAATACATAAGGCATCATTACTTGAGATTCATGGAAGCAAAAATGGAAATTTCACTTCGTGGGAAAAGAATCAAAACCATCAGACTTTGGGGGGATAGAAAGCTTATCTTCCAGCATGAAAGACAGGTCATGCATCTGTGACAACAACATTTCGACATCTTCCCTGGTTTGGGTCGACGCACTGTTCACACCTGCATTGGCGTTGGATTGAACCAAACTTCCTTCGGTGTCACTGTTCCAATTAATGGCCCTGCGGGATTGAGGAAATGGAGTCAAATTATGAATGAAATGAACTAACCAAATTTGTGAAAGCTCAATTCCCTGTAACTTATAACGCAACGAATTGCTCAGAGCATTTTGTTGTTCAAGAACTATTTAAGGACAGTGGTGCAAATATGACAACAATCTACCACATTATAGACAAGCAGAATTTTAGTGCATATTATTGAAACTAGATCAACAAACAAGCATAAATATTTAGAAAGAGAGCGACGATGAATCGCATAGGTCACCAACCCCCCATGTTAAGTTTTTAAACAAAAACAAACAGCAAGTAGGTCTATGGTGAGTCAGTTATGAGAGTTATTATCTCAAATAGAGTTATTACTCCACAAGTACAAACCACCTTAAATATGCTCTCCATTTTCTCACAAGTCTCAATGAGATATAAATAACTTCTAACAGATATTTACATCCTTGTAGAAAGAACGATGTTATACTCTTATAATGATTCATGCTATTGAATAAACTAGAGGGAAAAAGAATAAAAAGAAATTAAAATTTAAAATCCCATGCTTATAACTTGGGCAAAAATCTGACTGAAGTCAAACAAACACATAATCTATGATATACTTCAACAAAAACAACTTGAATCAAATAGATTAAAGATGTATGCACCATGGTTTATCTCTGATCTTGCAGAATGAAACAATTGCATTAAAAAATACCAGGTTCTGTGCTAGGCATTTCTAAGAGCAAAGCACACGTTCTGTGGCAATAACACAGCTATTTCGATTCAGGACTAAGTTATTCGACCAAAGCCCCAAGAAACATATTCATTTACAAGAGTAGGAAAAGAAAATTGTCTACCCATTTTTCTGAACTACTGTATCCTATAGACCAAAGAGCATAATTGTCCAGAAATGATGGAAAGCCTGCCTTTACAAGCCTTGGAAGAAATAACGAAACTATTACAGTCAACAACTTAAGAACAAGGATGAACAATAAATGCATTGCACGAACCATAACTTCAATAACAGTTAATCACGCTACTCGTACGAGCAAAATCCACATAACTTCAAGGTCTTTTAGCTATTGCACTGAAACTTAGCCACAGCCAGCCAACCAACGATATCAATACGCAACTTCACAGACACATACAAGTCCAAAGAACAAAACAATAAAAGGTACGCACAACAAAAGTAGGCGACATTTTCAAATGATAAGTAGTTACCTCATCTTCAATAACAAAATACTTGAAACCAAACTAAATGGTGAATTTCCAAACAGGACTAATTTCCTTTCTATCTTTTTGTACTGAAGAAATCAAATGATGCAATGACATCTGAATGTTTCATTTGAATCAAGAAAGAAGTTAATGGACTACGGTGAAACTTGCATGACGCAGTACATACCTGTCAAATTCAGCAACGCCAATGTTATTTAATTCCGTCGGAACCTTTTCTTTGGTGGATGGGCTTTGAAAAGGATCTGCTTGTGAAAAGCTACCAAAATCCATTTCTTCCAAATTATTATCTGAGTTGAACAAATCTGAAGCGCCTCCTGAAGCAGTTAAAGAATTATCTTTTGGAGCATTATTAGAAAAATCTTGAACAGGGATTGAGCTAGTGAATTCATCCCAATCACCAATCGAGGCATCATCTCTACTGGGAGCATTATTTGCAGGTTCATTTGGGTTTATTTCCCATTGATCAGCCTGAAACCAATCTAAACTTGTCGAGGGAGTGTTTCTGTTGTCTAGTTGAACTGCATTAGTCAGTCCAGAGGTAGAAACAGGTAGCTCCGATCGCTGAGGAGTCTCGGAACTTATGTTATTCCATAGGTTATCAGAAGTCCAGTCACTGACAGAGGGTCCAGAAGTTAAGTCAGAATCTTCTTTCCCATCTTTCTCTTTCTTGGGTGCAAACATGGACTCTAGTTGGTCAGAAATGTCTATATTGCTCATGTTATCTTGTGGGAGAGCTTCCTTTATAGTGATGGTAGGATCAGGCTCCTTATTTTCCAGTGATGCCTTGGGATTAAAGTTACTCCACATGTCATCAGAATCGAAATCACCAATTGAAGGAGAAGTTAATGAATCAGATCTCGTGTTTGCATCTTTCGAGTCTTTCGCTGATCCAAAAACAGTGTCCAGGTGGGATGACATATCAAATGGAGAACCACGTAAAGGGTCAATCTGTTCGGATATCTCCTCGTCATTTCTAGGCGCAACCGCAGAATTCACATCAAGGCCAAAGGACTCAGATCCATCAAACTGATTTCCAGAGTTAGCAGACTGAAAATCCGCTTCCCATCCAGAAAATCCATGATTATCTTTGTCTTCAGAAGACGGAACAGCTAACTCAGAAGACGAAACATTCTCAAAGAAACTGAGATTATTAGAAGAAACTGCTTTTGTTTCCAGAGTTGAAACATCAGTGCTCTTTACTTCGTGTGCTTCAGGTTTGCTCGAAACATTTAACCTTCTTGATTCATGCAAGAAGTTATCCAAATTGAACCCAGAAAATTTAAGCAAGCATACCTCCTGAAGATTTTCAGTAGATAAATTAGACTCTCTTTTCTGCTCATCATCCGGCCAATATATTTTAAAGTCCAAAAGTTCAGACAAACGAGTTCCCTCGTCCGGTCTACTTTGCACTCTGTCCAAGCCACCTCTCTCTAGGAGTGGTCCAACAATTTCCTACAGATCAACATATTCCAATGTATGAGAAATGTAACTACATACTGACACAAGCAGATTGTAACCTCAGAGACATGCATCATGACCGAAGCATAAACTCATTAGCAACAAGAAAGCCTAATCGGATTTGAGGTTAAACCCAACAAACATAAACAGAGCCAAGTCAACTGACGAGGGGAAAAAAGGACCGAAGCATAAACTCATTAGCAACAAGAAAGCCTAATCGGATTTGAGGTTAAACCCAACAAACATAAACAGAGCCAAGTCAACTGGCGAGGGGAAAAAAGGACATGTGTTGCCAATGTGCCATCATACTCCTCCACATTATCATAAATGGACTTTCAATGTTTCATACATATTATTAAGCAGTTAAGGTAGACGATGAAAACGGTAATGGCCATTATCACAAGTACAGTAAATAATCACGAAGTGCTTACATCATATCATCAAAGAACTTTGTTACAAAGTACAAATCCCCCTCTAGAATTTTTCCTGATCAAACTAAGGAACTCTACCATGTTTGTACCACTTTTTCGTGCATAATTTTAGCAACATTGCAAGTAAACTTGAAATCTACATCATGTACCGAAAGGCTTGGGGGTATTCTCTTTGCAGGATTCCTATCTTCACACCTCACAAGATCCATAAATCCATTCACCTGTCCACTCGCAACCATCACAAAGTTTTTTTTTTCCCCCTTTGGGTCTTGCATCTAACCCTTCTCATTCCAATAATCAGTGGCATCAAAAAGTTCTAACCTTTATTCTTAAACACAACTAGGCTTACCATAATAGTGACAGTGATACAATCCCAATACAATCCACTTCATACAGTCCAAAAAAGCAACAAAATTTAAATACAGAACAATCATCTTATCTAACAATTATCAAAATTCAATCACCTTCACTGAAAATCTTCCAGAAAGACACAAACCCAGTTGAATACCATCCCATATAAAGGGACCTAAATTCCCAAAAAAATCTTAAACAATGAATAATTCACAAAAAAAAAAAAAATGGGAGAGAAATGGGACTTACTGATCCATCAAGCTGGAGTGACTCAAGCAACCAGCCATAAGCAAGAGAGTCTTTAAAGCAAATTGGGTCATGAAGATTATCAGTGGGACGGCCACAATACACACACAGAACTGACTGAACCCCTCGGAGAAGCCTTCCTTTGCAGTTTTTACAGCGTAGGTAAGGCGGTGATGGGTCGAAAGATGCAACTGTTTCAGAGATTGCAGGCAGGGGAGAGAGGTTCTGGGTCGGGTCGTAATGGGATAACCCGGATTCAGCTCTGGTGGCCAGCTGGACTTGTCGGATCAGATCGTCTGGGAGCTGGTACGCCATTGTTGAGGGAACTGAACTGCGGAAAGGCGAGGAAAGAAGAGGGTAGTAACCAAATTAAAATCGGTAATCTTTTCCTATTAAAAAAAACAGGGGAGTAAATTTGATTATTCATCATATATAAAACTAGATGTTTGGCCCAGTCAGATGCCCGGACGCACCTTCTAAATTACTATTTTATTAAAATCTAATTGAATTACTATTTTTTGAGGAATTAATTTGACGTATATATCATTTATGCTATGGTTTGAGGCTTAAAAAAATATACCTATAAATCTGAGGTTATAAGGGAATAATAAATAATTAGTTTATAATGCATTATTCTTAATTACTGGATTTAAGTTTTTTTATTTTTTGTTTATATTAAGCCTGTAAAACTGTACGATTGGACATTTGAATTTGAATTAATATATCCTTTCGTTTGAAATGTAACTGATTCTTATTTGTAGAATTTTTTCATTGGATAAGTGTCACATCTAAAACATGTGTTTTTTTTTAAAAAAAAGAATTATATAGCTTCTAATTAAAAGAGACTTACACGTGGCAAAAAGACTCCTGAAATCTGAAATATGTTGCATTGGAGCCAAAACAGATGCATACGTAATTGCCACATAAGTTTCATGTCTTCTACTTTAATAGGGTAAAAGGGATATGTATGTAGATTTTCTCTTTTTTGACACTTATAAAATTAGTAAAATGTGATTTAAGGTTTAACAAGTTTCACTTTCTTTCCCTCTTTATTTTTTAGCTGAAAATTTCAATGCATTAACAAAAAGTGAACTTTCACATTGATTTATTAGTTTTTTTAGTTCATAACTTAATGGTAGAAAAATCTCCATAAAGTTTTTAAAAAAAGCCATTTTAGGTTCTATCTAAAACTAAGGCTAAAGAATTTTCTAAACCACAATTCTATACTTTTTCCTAAGTTATCACAAACCTAGCACCGTAAGATATCATGTATCAAATCCAAACAGTGATGTAGGAAATGTAAAAATTGTAACATGATAATTTTTTTTTTTTAAGAAAAGATTTATAATATATTAAGATGGAGAATTATATGAGGGGGACGAAGTGAGGGTCACTTTTGCTAATCTATGCGCCGCCTTCACTTTGTCCCTTGGGACTTTCCTAATCATTACATTAAAAATTGAAGAAAAAAGTGAGGAAACTTCTTCAAAGAGCGGCTCTAGGAGTAGATGACATGTTCTCTGTCCATGTATGATGTCCACCATTACTTGACCGTCTGTCTGAAGTTGGCAATTTGTAATCTCAAATTGTCTTGCTTGAGTTAGGGCTGTTAACCTAATTTCTTCAAAGAATTGAAAGATCTTTTGCATAATGGTATAGTCGGTTCTTTAAATCGGCAAAAATTTATTTTTTTGAACTCTTTAAATTTTGTCATGTCATTTTTATAATAGTAATTTGTTAATTTAAAATAATTAAAATGATTTGAATCGCGCTCTCCGTAGAAGTAACATCTTTGTCTGCATTTTTTATTTTCATTTTTGGATATCAGTCATTACAAATTGATTAGATTTAGTACACATCTTGGAGGGCTTAGACCATTTCTCACAAGTTTAGTAAATAAAATTTCTCAAAAAAACCATTTTCATTTTCTCAAACGTAATTTTTTGTCCAAACATAATGGCTTCTTTATAGTTCTACTGGTTTCATTACGATCCAGTATATATATTGGATTAATCAAAACAATCAATTTTTTCAAACTCTTAATTAATTAAGAATGAATCTGAAATGGTTATGAAATTTCATCACGGGTTGGTCTACAATTTAATTTCATAGTGAAAATGAGAACTGAGGTAATTACAACCAGTTTTATAATGAACCCAATGATCACTACAAACAACAGTTAAACTATTTATTTATCGAGAAAAAAATTACAGTAAGTCTTAATTATCTGTTCTAGGGACTCAAAAGTGTCACGCCCACAAACAAAAATGACCAAAAATGTTAAGCTTGAAAATCTGAGATCCATCCAGCAAACACACTATTTTCAAACAATGTTTTTTGAAAACGCGACTAATGAGTACACAACTTTGATATTGTAATACTCCTTCCGTCCGAAATGATTGTATTTTTTTAGTTAGATTTTAATTTTTAGTTCAAAATTACAACAAACATAAAAATTCAAACGGATTAATAATTTTGAGAAAGAGAGATTATAATAAACTATCACTCGTCAAACTCCAAAGCCTTGAAGTATTTGCCATCTATTAGATATGTACCAATGTTTAGGCGAACAGCCCATACATCCTTGGGTTTCCTTGATACAATCCTGTAAAACAACGCAAAAATTCATCAGCACATAAAGTAAAATTAGTGGAAACAACTAATAATTAGTTAATCTATTTAGTGGTAAACTAGAACTCATTCAATAATGATCAGTTGTCATCTTTAAGATGGGAATGATTCTCACTACAATACGTCTCCGGCACTGTAAGTGTAGTTTTACTCTATTTCAAGTTTCCAAACTTCTTTACATCCTTTTTCAATCGAGAAACAAGATTAGTTGGCCTTATTATGGGTTGTCTTCATTTTCACCATATTATATCTCACCTCGAACGCGTGAAGAATAAGAAGGGAAAAAAAAAAAAAGAAAGAAAGAAAAGAAGCAACACTCAAGAAAGCCCAAAATGGGACTAAAGAAAAGAAACACGTTTTTTTATCAAAATGATTAATTTTTATTTAAGAATTTTTACACACATGTAATGATTATTTTGGGACGGAAGGAATATAGCTGACAGAATGTAAAGAAGTGGAGAATGAAGCTTACCTTCCAACATCACCGGGTTTGACCAAACCAGTATTAACTCTAAGGCAAGGGATAGCTGTAGCTGTTTTTATGGCTTTTGGAGCAGCAATGAACACTATTGGAGAACCTACTTCAAGTTTTTTCTTCTTGTTGTTGTCTTCTGAATTAGTTTCTTGCAATTCGCATTTTGTAGATAACTTTTTCCCGACTTGGATGCTTTTGATACTAGTGTAAGGATGATATGAACCATTACAATATGGATTTTTTGCTATGGAGGAGGAAGAAGAAGAAAGAGAAAACGCCATGGATGAAGATATGAGTTATATGAAAGGATGAGGTTTTGAGTTTGAGGTCATGAAGTGACAAAAATTATTGAGGTTGTGTGCTTTGCTTATCTCTTGCATGACTTTTTTTTTCTTTTTATTTACATATCCGGTCTACTTTGCACTCTGTCCAAATCACCTCTCTTCTAGGAGTGGTCCAACAATTTCCTACAGATCAACATATTCCAATGTATGAGAAATGTAACTACATACTGACACAAGCAGATTGTAACCTCAGAGACATGCATCATGACCGAAGCATAAACTCATTAGCAACAAGAAAGCCTAATCGGATTTGAAGTTAAACCCAACAAACATAAACAGAGCCAAGTCAACTGGCGAGGGGAAAAAAGGACATGTGTTGCCAATGTGCCATCATACTCCTCCACATTATCATAAATGGACTTTCAATGTTTCATACATATTATTAAGCAGTTAAGGTAGACGATGAAAACGGTAATGGCCGTTATCACAAGTACAGTAAATAATCACGAAGTGCTTACGGCATATCATCAAAGAACTTTGTTACAAAGTACAAATCCCCCTCTAGAATTTTTCCTGATCAAACCAAGGAACTCTATCATGTTTGTACCACTTTTTCGTGCATAATTTTAGCAACATTGCAAGTAAACTTGAAATCTACATCAAGTGCCGAAAGGCTTGGGGGTTATTCTCTTTGCAGGTTCCTATCTTCACACCTCACAAGATCCATAAATCCATTCACCTGTCCACTCGCAACCATCACAAAGTTTTTTTTTTCCCCCTTTGGGTCTTGCATCTAACCCTTCTCATTCCAATAATCAGTGGCATCAAAAAGTTCTAACCTTTATTCTTAAACACAACTAGGCTTACCATAATAGTGACAGTGATACAATCCCAATACAATCCACTTCATACAGTCCAAAAAAGCAACAAAATTTAAATACAGAACAATCATCTTATCTAACAATTATCAAAATTCAATCACCTTCACTGAAAATCTTCCAGAAAGACACAAACCCAGTTGAATACCATCCCATATAAAGGGACCTAAATTCCCAAAAAAATCTTAAACAATGAATAATTCACAAAAAAAAATGGGAGAGAAATGGGACTTACTGATCCATCAAGCTGGAGTGACTCAAGCAACCAGCCATAAGCAAGAGAGTCTTTAAAGCAAATTGAGTCATGAAGATTATCAGTGGGACGGCCACAATACACACACAGAACTGACTGAACCCCTCGGAGAAGCCTTCCTTTGCAGTTTTTACAGCGTAGGTAAGGCGGTGATGGGTCGAAAGATGCAACTGTTTCAGAGATTGCAGGCAGGGGAGAGAGGTTCTGGGTCGGGTCGTAATGGGATAACCCGGATTCAGCTCTGGTGGCCAGCTGGACTTGTCGGATCAGATCGTCTGGGAGCTGGTACGCCATTGTTGAGGGAACTGAACTGCGGAAAGGCGAGGAAAGAAGAGGGTAGTAACCAAATTAAAATCGGTAATCTTTTCCTATTAAAAAAAACAGGGGAGTAAATTTGATTATTCATCATATATAAAACTAGATGTTTGGCGCAGTCAGATGCCCGGACGCACCTTCTAAATTACTATTTTATTAAAATCTAATTGAATTACTATTTTTGAGGAATTAATTTGACGTATATATCATTTATCTTATGGTTTGAGGCTTAAAAAATATACCTATAAATGCGAGGTTATAAGGGAATAATAAATAATTAGTTTATAATGCATTATTCTTAATTACTGGATTTAAGTTTTTTATTTTTGTTTATATTAAGCTCGTAAAACTGTACGATTGGACATTTGAATTTGAATTAATATATCCATTCGTTTGAAATGTAACTGATTCTTATTTGTAGAATTTTTTCATTGGATAAGTGTCACATCTAAAACATGTGTTTTTTTAAAAAAGAATTATATAGCTTCTAATTAAAAGAGACTTACACGTGCGAAAAGACTCTGAAATCGAAATATGTTGCATTGGAGCCAAAACAGATGCATACGTAATTGCCACATAAGTTTCATGTCTTCTACTTTAATAGGGTAAAAGGGATATGTATGTAGATTTTCTCTTTTTTGACACTTATAAAATTAGTAAAATGTGATTTAAGGTTTAACAAGTTTCACTTTCTTTCCCTCTTTATTTTTTAGCTGAAAATTTCAATGCATTAACAAAAAGTGAACTTTCACATTGATTTATTAGTTTTTTTAGTTCATAACTTAATGGTAGAAAAATCTCCATAAAGTTTTTTTAAAAAAGCCATTTTAGGTTCTATCTAAAACTAAGGCTAAAAAATTTTCTAAACCATAATTCTATACTTTTTCCTAAGTTATCACATCATATTTTTACTCATGTTCATCTAAATAATACTTCCTCCGTCCTAAAATTATTGTCCAGTTTGAGATTTTAGTTTTAGTACAATTTGAACTAAAAATGAAATTCCAAACTGGACAATAATTATGGGACGGAGGAAGTACTATTTAAACTTCAAAACCTAGCACCCTAAGATATCATGCGTCAAATCCAAACAGTGATGTAGGAAATGTAAAAATTATAATTTGAGAAATTTTTTTTTAAGAAAAGATTTATAATATATTAAGATGGAAAATTACATGAGGGGGACGAAGTGAGGGTCGCTTTTGCTAATCTATGCGCCTCCTTCACTTTGTCCCTTGGGACTTTCCTAATCATTACATTAAAAATTGAAGAAAAAAGTGAGAAAACTTCTTCAAAAAGCGGCTCTAGGAGTAGAGGACATGTTCTCCGTCCATGTATGATGTCCACCATTATTTGACCCTCTGTTAGAAGTTGGTAATTTGTAATCTCAAATTGTCTTGCTTGAGTTAGGGCTGTTAACCTAATTTCTTCAAAGAATTGAAAGATCTTTTGCATAATGGTATAGTCGGTTCTTTAAATTGGTAAAAATTTATTTTTTTGAACTCTTTTAATTTTGTCATGTCATTTTTATAATAGTAATTTGTTAATTTAAAATAATTAAAATGATTTGAACCGCGCTCTCCGTAGAAGTAGCATCTTTGTCTGCATTTTTTCTTTTCATTTTTTGATATCAATCATGACAAATTGATTAGATTTAGTACACATCTTGGAGGGCTTGCAATCATTACAAGTTTAGTAAATAAAATTTCTCAAAGAAACCATTTTCATTTTATCAAACGTAATTTTTTGTCCAAACATAATGGCTTCTTTATAGTTCTACTGGTTTCATTACGATCCAGTATATATATTGGATTAATCAAAACAATCAATTTTTTCAAACTCTTAATTAATTAAGAATGAATCTGAAATGGTTATGAAATTTCCTCACGGGTTGGTGTACAATTTAATTTCATAGTGAAAATGAGAACTGAGGTAATTACAACCAGTTTTATAATGAACCCAATGATCACTACAAACATCAGTAAAACTATTCATTTATCGAGAAAAAAATTACAGTAAGTCTTAATTATCTGTTCTAGGGACTCAAAAGTGTCACGCCCACAAACAAAAATGACCAAAAATATTAAGCTTGAAAATATGAGATCTATCCAACAAACACACTATTATCAAACAATGTTTTTTGAGAACGCAACTAATGAGTACACAACTTCGATATTGTAATACTCTTTCCGTCCGAAATGATTATGTAGTTTAGATTTTAATTTTTAGTTTAAAATTATAACAAACATAAAAATTCAAACGGAATAATAATTTTGAGAAAGAGATTATAATAAACTATCACTCATCAAACTCCAAAGCCTTGAAGTATTTGCCATCTATTAGATATGTACCAATGTTTAGGCGAACAACCCATACATCCTTGGGTTTCCTTGATACAATCCTGTAAAACAACGCAAAAATTCATCAGCACATAAAGTAAAATTAGTGGAAACAACTTATAATTAGTTAATGTATTTAGTGGTAAACTAGAACTCATCCAACAATGATCAGTTGTCATCTTTAAGATGGGAATGATTGTCACTACAATACGTCTCCGGCACTGTAAGTGTAGTTTTACTCTATTTCAAGTTTCCAAACTTCTTTACATCCTTTTTCAATCGAGAAACAAGATTAGTTGGCCTTATCATGGGTTGTCTTCATTTTCACCATATTATATCTCACCTCGAACGCGTGAAGAATAAGAAGGGACAAAAAAAAAAAAAAAAGAAAGAAATAAAAGAAGCAACACTCAAGAAAGCCCAAAATGGGACTAAAGAAAAGAAACATGTTTTTTTTCCCAAAATGATTAATTTTTATTTAGGAATTCTAATACACATGTAATGATTATTTTGGGACGGAAGAAATATAGCTGATAGAATGTAAAGAATTGGAGAATGAAGCTTACCTTCCAACATCACCGGGTTTGACCAAGCCAGTATTAACTCTAAGGCAAGGGATAGCTGTAGATGTTTTTATGGCTTTTGGAGCAGCAATGAACACTATTGGAGAACCTACTTCAAGTTTTTTCTTCTTGTTGTTGTCTTCTGAATTAGTTTCTTGCAATTCGCATTTTGTAGATAACTTTTTCCCGACTTGGATGCTTTTGATACTAGTGTAAGGATGATATGAACCATTACAATATGGATTTTTTGCTATGGAGGAGGAAGAAGAAGAAAGAGAAAACACCATGGATGAAGATATGAGTTATATGAAAGGATGAGGTTTTGAGTTTGAGGTCCATGAAGTGACAAAAATTATTGAGGTTGTGTGCTTTGCTTATCTCTTGCATGATATTTTTTCTTTTTTTTTAATATGTAAATAATATAGTTACTAGCTGAGAGAAGCCGTATGATGTGCGGTTGGTTGTTCGGCCGAGCCAGGGTAAGCCCAAAGTACCCAAATGTTTATCATGTCAATATTTAACAATATTCATCTTTAAAAAATTGAAAAGAAAATGAAAATGCATCACGAATGTGTTGAAGTCGTTTCCTTCTGCTAATCATTTTAATGTATACTAGATGTTTGGCCCAGGCAGATGCCCGGGCGCCCCTTCTAAATTACTATTTTATTAAAATCTAATTGAATTACTATTTTTTGAGGAATTAATTTGGCGTATATATCATTTATGCTATGGTTTGGGGCTTAAAAAAATATACCTATAAATCTGAAGTTATAAGGGAATAATAAATAATTAGTTTATAAGGTATTATTCTTAATTGCTGGATTTAGGTATTTTTATTTTTTGTTTATATTAAGCCTGCAAAACTATACGATTGAACATTTGAATTTGAATTAATATATCCATTCGTTTGAAATGTAACTGATCCTTATTTGTAGTAAAACATGTGTTTTTTTTAAAAAAAAATTATATAACTTCTAATTAAAAGAGACTTACACGTGGCAAAAAGACTCCTGAAATCTGAAATATGGTGCATTGGAGCCAAAACAGATGCATACGTAGTTGCTACATAAGCTTCATGTCTTCTGCTTTAATAGGGTAAAAGGGATTACACAAGCATCAATAATAATCATGTAATATAAGAGTGACAATATAATAGCGAATTGATCATTTTCCTCCAAGTATTCACAAATCTCTCTATATGCCCTTTTGGTCCAGCAGTTTGTGCTAAACTTAAAGACTTCCGCCTTGAAACACCAAGGTGCAGGATCACCCGCTCTCTCCCGTCATTTCTTCTCCGTAGTGGCACCAACCACACATTGCTCACATGAAATACACATACACGCACGATGGGTTCAAAATGCTGCAAAGGAAAATAATCTTAAAACTTATTCCACGTAAAGAAGTCCAATCTAGCACAAAACCTACCAGTTTTGCACTTCTGTCAACAAAGATTGGATTCTGCACAAGAACAGTTACTTTGAGAATTGCTCAAGTCTTGCAATGGAATCACAAATGGTCATTAAAAAAACTGCAAAAAGAGTTTCAACATCCTTCAAGAATCTAGCATCAACAGAGACTTTGTCATTCGGAGATCTTCTGAAATCTCGTGCCATGATTTTTTGTGTGGATAATACTGCAAAAGGCAACACAAATGATTAAAATACACATTGCTCAAATAGAAGAAATCTTTTTTCATAACCATGTAACCAAAGGCCCCTGGATCATCAACACAAATTTCGCTACAGTGAACATCATGATTTGGTTATATTTACAAAAATTCGGCAAAGTCAAAAGGAAACTATGACAATTTTCTTTTTCATGCGGTTCAACTCATGTTTAAAATTCCAAGGATCTGACATAACTCATTGATATTCTATACATTTACAAAACATAACTAATCATTCAAAAAACAGAAAAGAAGCCACTGCTTTCTGTCTGACACATTGATAGATGATTAGTCAATGAGTTGTAGAACCATTTTCAAATCAACTTGACATACCAAATTAAATTGGGCATTTAGATAGGTGAGTTTACTTAAAAGAAACTGGAATCAGTAATATGAATGACTTAATAACAAATCCGAAACCTGAAACATACAACAATAGTCCACCTTTTACAAGTTTGAAACAGAACTGAGAGCACACAACTTAAAACTTTACGCGCTTAGAAGGTTACTCAGAAATCCATAACCCCAATTACACAAAATTCGTTAACTGTATTAAGAATTCGTTCACAAAATTAGGCAGTGATCCTCAAAACAATTATCAATAATCGAATTAAGGCGAAAAATCCCAATATGACTAATTTAACCAAACAAATAAGAATGCAATATAGCTTACGTCGAAAATTTAATCACCTGATGTCAAAAGAAATGTGTTCCGGATGAAGAATAAAGTTGTAAGGATTTAGTATTAGAAAAAATGCATAGTATAAACTCTTCAAAACCGAACTTCTGTAGCAAAAAAGTAAAACAAAAATTTCCAAATTACTTACCACAGGGTCTGACCTCCTTAAATGGTTAGCGTGAAATAGTCACTTGTCCGCACCAACATGTTGACAATTACCAGAAAATAGTAACCTTGTAGCACATATCCCACAGTGTAGATACACTGGATTAATCGGAGGGTAAAGGAGCCACTTTGAAGTTTGAAATGTTAATGAAAGTAAAATGAAAATTGGAGCAAATTTTTATCATTTAAGCAAGAATGGAGGATTGGTTCTCAAAGCAAAACCAGTCTTAGAAAATTCACTGACAACCTCATATAACCAAAATCAAACACCTTATGTGCGACCCAGATATCCCCTCCAGTGCAACTGCAAAACTTATGCAAAGCTGAGCTAGATGGAGAAGACATACAGAGAACTATGTGTTGTACATATAATGCAAAAATCTATAAGTGCTCATAAAGACTTCCACACCCTTTGCAAATGATCGAAGAAATACTAAAAATTAAAATCTAAAACTAACATTTAATTTTGGGACCAACCACACAAATTTGTAATAATGGAAGCTCAAAATTTCCAACAATTTGAGCTCCTGCAAAGGCAAATCAAAACAAACTATCCACCTTTTCTAAACAAATCAACCACAGAGCCGTGTCTAATGAGAAGAGACCAAGAGCAACCAAATTGATGGTTCAGACGGTGTTTTTGTTGGAAGAAAAAAAGTGAGGCAAGAAGACAATCGGAAGTAGAATACGTGCAAGTACACTATTGGCGATGGGTAACCGGAAGGGCATGGAGGCGAAACTACTTCAGTAGAAAGCGACAAAAAAAAGGAGAGCCTGAATTGTTTGTTGACACGTTGGCAGAAATTATCTACAACTCCCGTTTAACTGTGCAACAAAAAGGGGATTCCCTTTTAAGTACATACTAGTGGAGGGAGCCGCACGAGGTGCGGCTGTGGTGCAGTGGAGCCAGGACATGGTGGGTTTTGTATTTAAGTGAAGTTGAAGAAGCTTGTATGTTAGAGTCTTTGTAGATAATTTGTATTATATGTTTATGATATTTGTACGGAAGTTATATTGTAAAAAGCGTGAGAACTGTACAAAATTATATGTTACATATATTAATGACAGTGTTTTACGTGGGAACTAAATTACAAAAAGTGAAAAAACGTATCTTACAATGCTTCGTACAGAAATTTTGTAACAAAAGAGAAACAGGGGATATTTTTTATATATATAGGATTGATTACAAAGTGTTGTGGCGGAAAGGGTATAAACACAACACACTGCGAAAGCGAACCCCAAGAAAATCTCCTTTCCTAGTACCAATAAAATAAGACAACCACCCAAACAAGCAACTAATTCAAGAACTGATAAAATAAAGGAGGCACACAAATTTACGTGGAAATCCAAATCGGGAAAAACCACGGGACTGTAACAACAGTCAAATCTCCACTATTATAATCATGGAAAAACAGTCTTCACCAACCGGTGGATGCACAGGACTTCACCCAAAGGTGGATTACAACAATACTCTTCCACACACCCCTAAATCATAAAGTAGGATTAAAAGGATCTAACCAAAAGAGAGTTAAACCGAAAACTAAACCCTAGCTTTCTTTCTTTTTCTCTCGTACAAAAACAATGCACGGTTGCCCAAACTTTTCTTCTCTTCTTGGATGAAAAACACACACCTAAAAAATTATGCCAAAGCCTTGCTTTTATAGAGCAAAAAAACCTAAAAACAAAAACCCAATTGGAGTGGGTTTTGTTTCCTAAAACCAAAGCCAAATTTGACTTGGTTTTATTTATTTCCTTGTTGACCCAATTAAGGGGAATACCGGGCCAACAATCTCCCCCTTCACCTCAATTGGGGGGTAAAACCAAACCCCCTTCCTGTCTACAGAACAGAAGCTTCTCTCTACTCACAGTCTTCGTCAACATATCGGCACCGTTGTCATCTGTATGGATCTTCTCAAGAAACAACGCCTTGGAGTCCAACACATCCCGGATCCAATGATATCTCACATCAATATGTTTTGACCGCGAATGAAATGTGGAATTTTTCGTTAAGTGAATAGCGCTCTGGCTATCATAATGCACCACATACTTCTCTTGCTTCATGCCAAGCTCTAGTAGAAACTTCTGCAACCAAAGTGCTTCTTTACAAGATTCAGTAGCTGCGATAAACTCTGCCTCTGTAGTAGACAAAGCAACACATTTCTGCAATCTACTCTGCCATGAAACTGCTCCCCCTCCATAAGTCATCAAGTAACCAGAAGTATACTTCCGATCATCAAGGTCACCCGCCATGTTAGCATCTGTATATCCATCCAACACGGTCTTCCCATTGCCAAAGCAAAGACTCAATCTGGAAGTACCCCTAAGATACCTGAGAATCCATTTCACAGCAATCCAATGCTTCTTACCAGGATTGGAGAGAAACCGACTAACAACACCAACTGCATGAGCTATGTCTGGCCTTGTGCAAATCATTGCATACATGAGGCTGCCAACTGCCGAAGCATAAGGAACCTTTTTCATCTCTTCCTTATCTTTCTTACTTTTAGGACACTGCGTTTTGCTTAACTTAAAATGCCCTGCAAGTGGAGTCGAGACTTCCTTAGCACCACTTATGTTAAACCTATTAAGAACCTTCTCAATATACTTCTCTTGAGATACCCAAAGCTTCCCATTCTGTCTGTCACGAGAAATCTTCATCCCAAGGATCTATCTAGCCGGACCCAAATCCTTCATCGCAAAGGATTTATTCAACTCCTTTTTCAAGCTGGGAATCTTTGCAATATCATGACCAACAATCAACATGTCATCGACATAAA